TATATTTCATGTTTTTAAGGGGGTCTGAATACTTTCCGTACCCACTGTACATAATGAAGGTCATTTGAGGTCATTCTGGATGGAATTTAATGAGGACACATGTTTCTCTCCCTGGATGTATATAGTTTTTTTTTTTTTTATGTTACTTTTCTTTGTAAAAAGGAAAAAAAACAGGTTATACTTTGAAACAATTTAATGAAGGTTGAGTATATAGTTAAAACATACCAGGTAATTGTACATAATTGTACAAGATACTCCATGGTTGCATTGAGTATTGTATGTAACTTGAAATATGCTACATGATTGTACTCAAATTATTGTACACAACAAAAAAATAAAATAGGAAAAAAAAAGAAATAGGCCTTTTGTGTACATAGAAAAAGTCTTAGATCTTTGAGTTCAGCTCATGAAAAATGGGGGCAAAAACAAAAGTGTTGTGTTTATAATTTTGTTCAGTGTACTTTAGATGAGGACAGCACTGCTTCATTAACAGCATTTTTACATTAAGATCTACAATTCTTCTGTTCTAATGATTAACAAAGTCTAAATGTGGCATTTTACAAGTAGCAAAAAACACATAACTGATTCATGAGAAGTGGGACAAAACGGTGCAAAATTGAAAAATAAAACCTTGTGCTCAGACAAATGAAACGACATGATCTTATATGTACTAAGCTACTGAGCTATGCTTTGATGCAACCTCCCAACTTTTCTCTTTTTTATCAAAACCTGCTTTTTACCTTTAACCTTTTCTTTAACAGCAATCAAGATGTTTTTAACATTTCAAAACACATTCTCGTGTTAGCAGGCAGATTACACTTTCACGTGTGACTAACAATTCCTCAACAAATATAAAACATCATAACGAAATATTATCAAACTATTCATCTGATGGTGGTGACGAAAACCTGTCATTTTAACTAATACACTGAATCAAGCAATAACTATTAAAACAAACACAACAAAGAGCGAGTATGTTATTGTTTATAACAGATTCACATTTAAGTATCTTGATATATATTTGGAACACAAACGATCTATTTTCTCTCATCTCAGAACAGTATGTCTGCTATGGTAACACGGTAACTTTTAAAAACAGTTAAATGAACAAATGAAACAATTAGTTGTTACCTCTATCCATTAACATTCACCAAGATCTTAATATTCACACTTAAACATTTTAACAAATGTGCCAATAATTACCAGAATACGAACGAACTGTATGTATATGTATTTGAAAACGTCCTCACCCTCAGTTCATCCCAGATGTAGATGAGATTGTTTCTTCATCAGGTTTGTAGAAATGTAGCATTGCATCAGTGTCTCAGCAATGGATGCTCTGCAGTGAATGGGTGCCGTCAGAATGAGAGTCCAAACAGCTGATAAAAACATCACAATAATCCACAAGTAATCCACAGCACTCCAGTCCATCAGTTAACATCTGGAGAAGACAAAAGCTGAAACTAATCCAGCATTAAGACGCTTTTAACTCAAATTCCATAGAGTCCATAATAACTCTTCCTCCAGTGAAAAAGTGTTCTGGTGTGAATCAGGAGAGAAATCTGCACAGATCAAGCAGCGTTTAAACAGCTCTAAACACATATGTGGCTGGATTCTGATGTGAGAGACAACAGCAGATGCACTTTTTCACTGGAGGAAGCGTTATTATGGACTCGTATTTTAGTTATAAATGTCTTAATGCTGGATTTGTTTCTTACACACACACAGCTTTTGGCTTTACAAGGCGTTAGTTGATGGACTAGAGTCGTGTGGATTACTGTGATGTTTTTATCAATTTTAATTGTTGGATGAACGGTCACATTCAGTTACAAATTGTAACCTATATTTCAAAGTGCTAAAGTTTGACAAAAAGTCACGTAATTTGCATTGCTGGATATTTTGTCTCTGTGTTTTAATTATATTTATGAAATATTTAATGTACATTTTAGTTGTATTATAATATATTACCATCTTAGAGATAAAACATACCCTGTATATTAATTCTAAAAGTATTAGTATCTATACACTAAAACTGACTGGTTCCTGTGTGGACGGAGACACTATTAACCAAAGGCTGGTTTGAAGTCCAGGCAGAAGTCAAAGCAAAGACTTCTTGCTCGGTTCACACTTAAAAAAGCTCTTAATACTGAACTCTCGAAGTGCACCAGATTGATGCATTTAACTTTAAACATGTCACATTTTCTTCCCCAGGCTCCAGCAGACACAGTCTTACAAAATCCTGCGGGAGACACTGGGTTTAGTTGCCAGTGATAACTCATTCCACATTAACCAGTAAAACCAGAGTAAAACATGCTCTGGCAGATGACATCAACTGCTCTACACTGCAGCGGACCCAATGAAAGCAGTCCACGAGTCTGTGCTCCAGTCTGCAGCTTCAGCTCATCTACTCACCTTCACTCAGTGCTGTTTTGTCGGTTTAGGCACTGACTGGTTAATCTCGTACAGGAAACCCTAATTATCCAATCTAAAGTGCACTTAACAGTTCAAGAAACAACAGCAGTTATGTAAACGCTTTATTTGTATACTTTCCCAACATAAGTCATTTAAACTACAGGAGCAGTAAAACCATAAAACCATAATGCAGAGGAAAGGGGCAAAAGAAATAAAAACAAAAATAAATACAAAGCATGAAAACAGACTCCAATCGAAATAAATGCTGTATTTGATTTGTACATGAAAACTCCAGATGAAAGTATTTACACAAAGCTATGAACAGCAGTCTCCCTCACACACGTCTCACATTTATCATGGCAATCGACGGCATTTGCAGCGAATAAAAGGCATTTTACATAAATCAAACATAAAAAACCAGGATGTAATGACAGGTGGCTGTGTAAAAGGCATGGTCAGAGCCTAATAAATATCCAGGGTTCAGTAAGAGACACAAGAGCCACTGATTGGAGTAATAGTTGCAGGAAGCACCGAGCCGCTGCAG